ACTAGAACTGAACTAGAACTGAACTAGAACTGAACTAGAACTGAACTAGAACTGAACTAGAACTGAACTAGAAACTGAACTAGAACTGAACTAGAACTGAACTAGAACTGACTAGAACTGAACTAGAACTGAACAAAAAGAAAAGTTATGTAATAAAAAATGGCAAAAAAAAGTTTATTTTGCTATTTTTCACAAGCATATTTTTGTTAAGTTCAGTCTAAGAGTATTTTTTTCTCTGATGTTCTTTCGTAGCACAAAAATATTTGAACTATTTTCCTTTTGCTGTAACATTTTAGGTTTTTTTTTTTAATATAGTTGGACTAGAACTGAACTAGAATTGAACTAGAACTGAACTAGAACTGAACTAGAACTGAACTAGAACTTAACTAGAACTGACTAGAACTGAACTAGAACTGAACTAGAACTGAACTAGAACTGAACTAGAACTGAACTAGAACTGAACTAGAATTGAACTATAACTGAACTAGAATTCAACTAGAATTCAACTAGAATTCAACTAGAACTGAACTAGAACTGAACTAGAACTGAACTAGAACTGAACTAGAACTGAACTAGAACTGAACTAGAACTGAACTAGAACTGAACTAGAACTGAACTAGAACTGAACTAGAACTGAACTAGAACTGAACTAGAACTGAACTAGAACTGAACTAGAACTGAACTAGAACTGAACTAGAACTGAACTAGAACTGAACTAGAACTGAACTAGAACTGAACTAGAACTGAACTAGAACTGAACTAGAACTGAACTAGAACTGAACTAGAACTGAGCTAGAACTGAACTAGAACTGAACTAGAACTGAACTAGAACTGAACTAGAACTGAACTAGAACTGAACTAGAACTGAACTAGAACTGAACTGGAACTGAACTAGAACTGAACTAGAACTGAACTAGAACTGAACTAGAACTGAACTAGAACTGAATTAGAACTGAACTAGAACTGAAGTAGATAAAACTGGGCGAATATACCGAAAACAAAGAGGCTGTGATTTTCGAAGGAACAGTCTTGTAAACAATACAACTCTCGCAATTGTTCCTCTAAAGAAAATTCAAACCGACAGCACGTCAGCGAAGTGTTGGCAATCCTTGACAGAAAACGAAAAAAAAAAACCGAAATGCAAGAAAAACTTAATTTAAGTGTATAAAATGTGAACCATGCACAATACAAAAGTTTCAATGAAATTCTACTCTGGTATCTGTGTGAGTGATTCAATGTAAATGTGTGGCTGTGTATAGTATATATGTGTGAGGATGCACTTTTGATTTGTCACAGAGAAAAATTCGAATTGTTAGAGTAAAATGTTTTTGTTTTTGTTATTATTTTTTTTTTTTTCGTTTAGTTTTTTTTAATTTTTTCCTGTTTCACCAGAAAATGAACGGAAAAAGACGATTCTACACAGTACAAGAACCAAATAAAACATATAACATTTGATGGTGTAGAAATCTTTTTTTGTTTTTTAGTTGTAGTTGTTGTGTCATTTTCGTAATTTTTTAAGTTTTATTTTTAAAATATTCTAAAGCACCCAAATGATTGCTATTTTTGCAGTGTTGTCACCACACCAAAAGGAGAATAAGTTGAAAAAGAAGAGGAGTACTGTAAGCAACATGCAACACATATTCATAGTCATCTAACTAAAGCTACTGCTGCTGTTGCTCCCATGAGCATCAGCTGAAGCAGAAAGTTTTTTAAAACACACATTTTTTCTTCTTTCTGGCTTTGTGGTGGCAATCATAAAAAAAATTGTACAACTCAAAGTACGATTATTTGAAAAAGAAATGAAAAAAAAAAGCGAAAAACATTTGCACCAAAAATATCAAAAAATCCAAAAAAAAAAAATATTGTAGAAGAAATTGGTGTTGGTGTATGAAAATAACATGAACACATACAAATAAAATGTTGGGAATTCATATGCCTTTGAGAGATTGATAAGAAGAGAAGAGCAGAGGCAAAGATGAAACAAGGATGCCTTCAGTAGATTAAGTGTTGTTTTAATTGAAATCCTGAATATGGAATGTTATCTAAATATTAACAAAAAAATGTTTTCAAGGAGAGATACACATTGCAGAACATGCACTACGTTATTTGCAGCTTTTTCAAGGATTTGTTTGAAAGAATTTTTAAGTTTATTAAATGTCTTTAAATTTGCCTGGCAAAATCTTTCGAAATCCTGCAGAAAATGAAGAGAGAGTTCATTCTGTTTCAGAAACATTCACTCCAAATTCGATTTTGAAGTAAAAAATGTAATTATTTTCTATAAATTCGATTTTTGTTTAGTCAAAATTTTATTTTATTTTAAAAATGCGATTTTTTGGTTAAAAATCGAGTTTTGGTAAAAAATTTATTTTTTTGGTAAAAATTAGATTTTTAGTAAAAATTCAAACTGAACTAGAACTGAAATAGAACTGAACTAGAAGTGAACTAAAAGTGAACTAAAAGAGAACTAGAACTGAACTAGAACTGAACTAGAACTAAACTAGAACTGAACTAGAACTGAACTAGAACTGAACTAGAACTGAACTAGAAGTGAACTAGAACTGAACTAGAACTGAACTAGAACTGAACTAGAACTGAACTAGAACTGAACTAGAACTGAACTAGAACTGAACTAGAACTGAACTAGAACTGAACTAGAACTGAACTAGAACTGAACTAGAACTGAACTAAAACTGAACTAGAACTGAACTAGAACTGAACTAGAACTGAACTAGAACTGAACTAGAACTGAACTAGAACTGAACTAGAACTGAACTAGAACTGAACTAGAACTGAACTAGAACTGAACTAGAACTGAACTAGAACTGAACTAGAACTGAACTAGAACTGAACTAGAACTGAACTAGAACTGAACTAGAACTGAACTAGAACTGAACTAGAACTGAAGAACTGAACTAGAACTGAACTAGAACTGAACTAGAACTGAACTAGAACTGAACTAGAACTGAACTAGAACTGAACTAGAACGGAACTAGAACTGAACTAGAACTGAACTAGAACTGAACTAGAACTGAACTAGAACTGAACTAGAACTGAACTAGAACTGAACTAGAACTGAACTAGAACTGAACTAGAACTGAACTAGAACTGAACTAGAACTGAACTAGAACTGAACTAGAACTGAACTAGAACTGAACTAGAACTGAACTAGAACCTGAACTAGAACCGAACTAGAACCGAACTAGAACCGAACTAGAACCGAACTAGAACCGAACTAGAACCGAACTAGAACAGAACTAGAACAGAACTAGAACCGAACTAGAACAGAACTAGAACAGAACTAGAACAGAACTAGAACAGAACTAGAACAGAACTAGAACAGAACTAGAACAGAACTAGAACAGAACTAGAACAGAACTAGAACAGAACTAGAACAGAACTAGAACAGAACTAGAACAGAACTAGAACAGAACTAGAACAGAACTAGAACAGAACTAGAACAGAACTAGAACAGAACTAGAACAGAACTAGAACAGAACTAGAACAGAACTAGAACAGAACTAGAACAGAACTAGAACAGAACTAGAACAGAACTAGAACAGAACTAGAACAGAACTAGAACAGAACTAGAACAGAACTAGAACAGAACTAGAACAGAACTAGAACAGAACTAGAACAGAACTAGAACAGAACTAGAACAGAACTAGAACAGAACTAGAACAGAACTAGAACAGAACTAGAACAGAACTAGAACAGAACTAGAACAGAACTAGAACAGAACTAGAACAGAACTAGAACAGAACTAGAACAGAACTAGAACAGAACTAGAACAGAACTAGAACAGAACTAGAACAGAACTAGAACAGAACTAGAACAGAACTAGAACAGAACTAGAACAGATAGAACAGAACTAGAACAGAACTAGACAGAACTAGAACAGACTAGAACAGAACAGAAGACTAGAACAGAACTAGAACAGAAACAAGAACAGAACTAGAACAACTAGAACAACTAGAACAGAACTAGAACAGAACCTAGAACAGAACTAGAACAGAACTAGAACAGAAACTAGAACAGAACTAGAACAGAACTAGAACAGAACTAGAACAGAACTAGAACAGAACTAGAACAGAACTAGAACAGAACTAGAACAGAACTAGAACAGAACTAGAACAGACTAGAACAGAACTAGAAACAGAACTAGAACAGAACTAGAACAGAACTAGAACAGAACTAGAACAGAACTAGAACAGAACTAGAACAGAACTAGAACAGAACTAGAACAGAACTAGAACAGAACTAGAACAGAACTAGAACAGAACTAGAACAGAACTAGAACAGAACTAGAACAGAACTAGAACAGAACTAGAACAGAACTAGAACAGAACTAGAACAGAACTAGAACAGAACTAGAACAGAACTAGAACAGAACTAGAACAGAACTAGAACAGAACTAGAACAGAACTAGAACAGAACTAGAACAGAACTAGAACAGAACTAGAACAGAACTAGAACAGAACTAGAACAGAACAGAACTAGAACAGAACTAGAACTGAACTAGAGTTCGACCACCTCTACCAAAAAGGTAACGTAAGCGCCCAATAAGATCTCTAAAGTTTCCGAAAAATTGGATTAATTAACAATTTTTATATAGAACGCATTAAGTTTTATTTAGCTAAACATACAATGGAATGAATACCTTCTGTTTCTTCAAAATTGTTCTTCTGTATGCTTAGTTTATTTCCTTTAAAGCATTAAAATTCACTTGAAATCCCCGAAAAAAACACGAAAAAAAGAAGTGTCACTTAAACTGTCTGTGTCAAGAAACATTTCATAAATTATAATTGGATTTCTTTTATAAAAGATTATTACGAAAAATACTCGTAATAACAATGTAATATTTGCTACAAACAAAAACATACTTATAATAAATATTATGTAGAAATAAAGTACTTAATATTAAGAAAATGAAGGAAGAAAAAAAAGAAAACAACTAAAATGTTAAGAAAGTGACATAAAATAATTTAAATCTACATACATACCTTTTTTTATTTATAAACTTTATAAAACGTTTTGAAAATTGTTGTCAATAAACTACAGCTGGTGTTGTCGTGTTGCTTGCTGCTGTTGCTGCTGCTTTTTTTTTAATTTTATAATTAAACTGGAAATAGATGGGAGAGCAGAAACGGCAACATTTTAAATTACGAACAAACAAAATTTTTTATGATAATTTAAACAAAATGTGTTTTTTTTTTTTTTAAATATATTTAACACTTTACCAGTAGTATTAAATAGGTGTCTGTCTGTATGTGTGTGTGTTTAAGAGTGTTGCAATAGATTTTAAAATATAGTTCAAATGGAATGGAAAGAAAAAAATCTATTAAATACATTTAGCACCTTTTTTCCACTCAACAACAACAATAACAACAAAAAAAAAAAGAGTAAACATAATAATAACAAAATAAATAAACAATTTGTTAACAATATAATACAATAAAAATTCAAATTTTCAAATCAAAATTTGTTTAACACTTAATAAATGATGACGAGAAATGATAATGAAATGTTCCCTCCCTGGTGGTTGGTGGTGAGATTCTGATGGCTGACGAGTGTGAATTTAAGTGATAAAGATAAAAAACTTATTAAAAATAAAAAGAAAAACAGAAAATTTATGAACAAGGAGAGGGAGAGGGTCTACAAAAAAGGACAAATCACACACACGCATTAACAATAATTTTAATGACATTAATAATAAAAAAAAGGAAAAATGTATATAAACACGCAAATTTAAGTTTATTTGACGAGAAAGAGAAAGGCTAAAATGAATTTAAACAAGAAGTCTATATTCGTCTTTGCCGAATCTTATATACCCTTCACTATAGTGTGTTTAAACGAAAATTTATTTTATAAAATTTTCAATTTATTTCGTTTTTCCCGACTTTAGAAAACAAAAAAACTACAACGCCATACAAAATACGCAAAGCAATGAATCCAACACACATGCAAAAGTACGTTTTTTTTTTTCAATAAGCAAAATGTTGTTGTTGCTTTTTTGGTAAAGCATGCAAAAAATTGTCTTTTTTTATCAAAATTTTCAGAGGTTATCTCGAATTTTTGCTCACAACTCCGTTATTTATGGATGGATTTTGCTGATTTTAAGTAGTAAACTTCTTGAAAGCATGTCTGATAGAATTATAGAAGATTTGGATCCCGAAGATATTTGGGGTTTTCAGAAAATTGATTTCAACAGACCGACGGACAGACAAGCAGACGGACAGACAGACAGACAGACGGGCATGGCTTAATCGATTCCGCCATCTACCAACACATGTCCAAACATACGTTTTTTTACAATAAGCAATGTTGTTGTTGCTTTTTTGTCAAAGCATGCAAGAAATTGTCTTTTTTTATAAAAATTGATTTCAACAGACGGAAGACAGACAGATAGATGGACAGACGGACAGTCAGACAGACAGACATACAGACAGACATAGCTTAATCGACTTCACTATCTAACAACACACGTCCAAACATACATTTATTTCCAATTAGCAACGTTGTTGTTGCTTTTTTGTCAAATCATGTAAAAAATTTTCATTTTTTGATGAAATTCTCGGAGGTTGTTTCAGATTTTTGCTCACAACTCCGTTTTATATGAACGGATTTTGCTGATTTTATATAGTAAACTTCTCAAAAGCATAGCTGAAAGAATTATTGAAGATTTGGATGCCGCAGATATCTAGAGTCCTCAGAAAATTGATTTCAATCGAAAGACAGACGGACATGGCTAAACAGACTCTGCTATCTATAAGGATACAGAATATAGGTATATACTTTATAGGATCGAAAAATTATATTGTGAAAATTACAAACGGAATGACAACTTATATATGCCCTTCTCAGAAGATGAAGGGGGCTATATACAGAATTAAAACATTTGTTTCACAAGAAATATGCTAAGCATACAAGTTTTATTTTAAACAAAAACCTTAAAAAAACCCTAAACAAATATATAAAATATTATTAAATAGATTTCTTTAAACAATTTTCTTTCTAAAACTCAAATTATAAAAATTTTATTTCAGCAACCAGTTTTTAAAACATAACCCTTATTTAATCCTTTGTTTTTTTTTTCCATTGCCATAAATAAGTTTAACATAAATCTCTGCAGTAAAAACTTAATTTCTATTCTTAAATGTTTTTTTTTTCTACTGAAAATTATAAAAATTGTTATAAAAACTCTCCATAAACAGGACATAAAATATTGTGTATGTGTGTGTTTTAGATTTTGTTTCTTTGAATATAGAAACAACAATCATGTCGCTGCAAAGGATTTTGTTTTCTAATAAATTATTAAAAATCACGCACATGTTACTGCTGCCGTTTGTTTTGTTGGCTATTATATTGTAACACATGGAATTGCCAATTAAAAATGTTAATAAAATATAATTTTTATTATGATCGCAGTTATTCGTTTTGAACATATATTTAAATTATTTTGAAGTATTTAAAAGGGCAAAATTAAAATAAATATTGTTTAAATAACAAAAAATTTATTAAATTTTAGTTTAAATTAGTTTATAGGTCGAGTGATTTGAAAGTAATTTAAAATTTCTTCATTTGGCTATAAGGCACAAAATTGTTGTTGCAATATTTAATTCAAGTGATGTTCAGTTAGAACACTTTGGTTCATTATTTAAACATACATACATACGTCATCGGAATTGCAAAGTTGTTGTTATGCTACTACAATCACGCATAAATGGCAAAGTAGGAATAAGGTCCTCAACGCGCAAACAGTCAGCACTTGGAGTATAGACAAATAAAACTTGTTATATATATTGATTCCTATGGTTCCAAGGTGGAACCAAGGGCCATAACAAAACATTTCCATTGTGATATATCCTGTGCTATCAGCTTCACTTTGGCCCAGGACTTACCAGTTGAATTTGCTCCCTTTTCGATTTGTCTATTCCAGGTGTTTGCGGGTCTGCCCTCTCAACTACCCCGAGGATTCCATTCTATTACCATCTTGGCTACGTTGTCATCGTTACGTCTGAGAACATGGCCAATCCAACTCCATTTACTATTGACTATATACATACATACACCACATACATACTTGCCGTGGAGTTCCAAGATTCGCATCCATACAGCAGCACAGCAACGAAGAGTGGTATAAGAAAAAGCTTAAATGGATTTGAGATGATTTCCATATTCTTTGTAGAACACCAAATGCTTGATCTACATTTGCTCTAGATCTGCGAGGCCCCCAATTAGGCCCCAAGTTATGACTCCTCTAGTTCAGGTAGGTTGCCATAAGCATTAGAAATAAAACTCGTTAGCTATGTATAAACGATAAGCCGGTCAATGGTTAATTTTTCTACTAGTGTAGCCTGTTTCGCTGAGTGATGCATACAATTAACCTCGGAACAACATCTATATGAAAATGGACAGTCACCGGAGAAATCATCCCAAGTTTAACAATACATTTTTGGATATTTTCCGGTTTTTCTTCGTAAGAACGACATCAACCTCCTCCAATAGCAGAAACAGTAGAAAACCTGCAGCGCAAAACAAGAGTAGTTCTGGTACAATGAGATCGAGATGGAGACTTAATGCCTACTGGTCCACCTCTTTACGTATACAACACTAATTGGAGAATTTGCTTGCTTTTTTATCGACTTCTGCTGAATATTTCCAGAAACTAATAAATTGAAGGAACTACTGCAGAAGTCGTGAACTATTCAATTTTCTGGCGTGAATCATTTAAGGACAGTGATAGGCAAACTCTGCTATTATGATTCGATGCTAACCCCTTGTCGAGGGACGTGGAAAGCCAACTTTCCACATGTCATGCCACGAATTTAGATTCAAGGTACCTAACTTGATATTCTATTAGATATGACATGCCATTTTCATCTTTTGTTTCTGTGTTCATGATCGGACGAAAGAAACATCTGTGAACTAAATCTCAGGAAGTCGCCGACTAACATGTTTCGAAATTTATACTAAATTGCAATCATTGCGTCTGTTTGATTATAATTTAGAATCATAAGTCTTTTTTTTTATGACCTGTATTGTCTCATGGATGTGTTACTGACAAATTTCATCAAATTTGTTAAAAGTATCGGAAAGTAATCTTTGGGACTATAGGAATAAAAAAACCCTTATCCTTCGAGGAATATTTACAGTAATTAGCAAATCAATTAAGCAATATCGAGAAGATAACTTGAAATAAATCCAAATGCAAGGCTGCATACTACTACCAGCTAACTCATCCATATCAATTGTCCAACATAAAACTGGAATTTATCTAAATTGAACACGTTTAAGGGTTTAAGATAAGGCGATTAAGATCAATATTATCTATATATATATATATAAATGAATGTGTGTTTGTTTGTATGTTTATATGTTTGTATGTTTGAACGTTATAGACTTCTAAACGGCTGAACCGATTTTATTCAAATTTTCACAGCGTATTCCTGTATGTCTGGAATAGGTAATAGGCTACTTTTTATTTTGAAATTCCAAGTGGGCGAGGATCCACGCCTATATTAAGAAAATATTAAATCCGTATATTTTAGATAATATAACAGTTAGAGTCCTCAAATTTTGTCGGAGCAACTTTAGTGTCAATATAATTATTTAGGACAAAAAGTAGGCGGACTATCATTAGGGGGCGTGGCACCTCCCATATAAATTAAATACAAAAATACGTTTATCTTGGAAACTATTACAGTTAGAATCTTCAAATTTTACACGAAAAACTTTAACATCCATCTAAACATTTTGGGTAATAAATTGGCGGACTACCCATGAGAGGAGCGACACCTCCCATATTAATTAAAGACAAAAATTCGTTTATCTGGAAAACTAATGAAACTAAATTCTTCAAATTTCGCACGAAGAACTTAAATATTCATCTGAACATTCTGGAGGAAAAAAAGCGGACTTTCATCTGGGGGGTCTTGAAGCCCCCACATGAATCAAATAGAAAAATTCGTATATATGAGAAACTATTAGAGCTAGAAGCTTCAAATTTTACATGGAGAACTTTGAAATTCATGTGAACATTTAGAGAATAACGGGCGGACTTCCAATGGGTGGCTTGGCACAACATATATTAATTAAATACAAAATTTCATGCATCTTTGAAACTCTTATATTATTCAAATTTTTTATAGATAGATATAAATTGGCGTTAGATAGAAACTGGCGAACTTGCAATAATTTGCTTGACATCTTTCATATGTAACATATAATAAATCAGGTATTTATTTATACATATTCCTTTTAGGGTAGCAAAGCATACTGGGTATAGCTAGTACAAAATATAGGAAAACGATTTGTAGTTTCATAAAGTAAATGTAGTTGATTGCTATTGTAAGAAAGAGCGAGAATATAACAACGAAATCGTAGACAATTGATTTAAAAGAAATATTGTACTAAGAATCATTCCCATGTTCCTAAATGTTTAACTTTCGAATCTCATCTTAGTTCATTTCTATTGCTAAACAACTTTGAAAATACCAATCAAATACGCTTTGCGTTTTTATACCATACACCACTTTAGTGGGGAGGGTATATTGGATTTGTGCTGATGTTTGTAACGCACAATAATATTGGTCCTATACCCACCTTAAAGTATACCAATCGGCTTAGAATCATTTTCTGAGTCGATTTAGCTATGTCCGTCCGTCCGTCTGTCCGTCTGTCCGTCCGTCCAAGTAAACCTTGTAATCAAACTACAGGTCGCAATTTTGAAGATAATCCAATGAAATTTGGCACATGATCTTCTATTGTTCCAGGGACGAAGCCTATTGAAAATGATTAATATCGGTCCATTATTTCACCTAGCCCCCATACAACTGAACCCCCGAATAGGGCTTGTAAACCTTGTAATCAAACTACAGGTCGCAATTTTGAAGATAATTCAATGAAATTTGGTACATGATCTTTTATTGTTCCAGGGACGAAGCCTATTGAAAATGATTAATATTGGTCCATTATTTCACCTAGCCCCCATACAACTGAACCCCCGAATAGGGCTTGTAAACCTTGTAATCAAACTACAGGTCGCAATTTTGAAGATAATTCAATGAAATTTCGCAGATGATCTTCTATGGTACCGGAGACGAAGCCTACTGAAAATGGTTAATATCGATCCATTTTCTCACCTAGCCCCCATACAACTGAACCCCCGAATAGGGCTTGTAAACCTTTTAATCAAACTACAGGTCGCAATTTTGAAGATAATTCAATGAAATTTGGCAGATGATCTTCTATGGTACCGGAGACGAAGCCCACTGAAAATGGTTAACATCGGTCCATTATTTCACCTAGACCCCATACAACTGAACCCGACAAATAGGGATTTTAAATTTATAATTATGTTTAATATACTCGCATCTCGACAAAAAGGTGCAAAACCAAGTTCTGTACTAGCCTTGATGACTTTTCAATGAGGTCACTGTTAACAGAAAAATTGAAGTATTTTATCGAAAAAAACTAATTTTCATGGCTTTAAATACATTTTTAAAATAGAAATTACGTTATTTATTAAAAACAAATAAATTTAAAAATAAAACCAAAAACCGGAGAGAAAAATAAATTTGCTACAAAATTTAAATAAACTATTTAAAAAACTTAAAGAAAAACAGATATAATAAAAGAAGTCACAACTAAAGAAGATTTGGAAAATTGTGTATCCAAATTTAAATAAAATTATAAAAACAGCATGAATATCCTTCAAAGGAACTTCATTACACACTAAAGCACTATTACGCATTCCAGGGGGAGAATGATACACACACACACTCCAACACACACACAAATACAAATACAATGAAGAGACATATTCAAATTGGCACGCAATGCTTGTTTTCATTTTCATTTTTTGATTTTTATTTTAATAAAAAAAAATACACTTTTTCTTCTAGATATTGTTATGAAAAATAATGATTACGAAATACTAATACTTTGGGAAACTCATTAATCATTTACAGTGTATTTGTTAATTATACTTAATTTATCATTAATTTTTTGTTTTTTTTTTATAATAATTTAAAATTTTTATAACTTCTCTTTAACTTTTATTATTATTGTTTCAAAATAATTTTCTTTTTTTAAAAAAACATTTCAGGTTTTAGTTATTTCTAAACACCCGAATTTTTATGTTAAAGAGAAAAACACGTTTTTTTTTATATTCTTCTTTTGTCAATAAAAATTAAAAAAAAAAACTAAATTTTTTTTCTTTACCAATTTCACAATTGTAAACAGCACCACTGCTCACACTTTATTTTGAAAATTTTTATATTTAATTTGTCCGAAAAATAACTAACGTTTTTTTTAAAGAATTTTCCCGTTTTTCTTTCTCGTTACTTTTATTATTTATGTTTTACCACCACAATAAACTATTATTCTCAAATATTTTTACTTTGAAAGATAAAAAATTTAAAAGATATATTTTCACAAAATAATTTATTTTTGTTAAAAATTTTCAACGTTTTTAACGCACCACGTAGAAACAGAGACAAATATGTGTTGCAATCTCAACGACAGTAGAACGACTCAATTTTATTTTAACAACGAGGTTTTTCAGCTGCTGCTGCTGCTAACACTGCTGCTGCTGCTAAATTCTGCTACTGGCTGCACTAGTTCGTAAGTTGGCCCCCCACATGAAAAACTAAAAAAAGACAACAAACACATCACAAACATGTATGTTTTACAAAAATAACAACACACCGTCTGTATTCTAACAACAATATGATGATGGCTGGGAGAGCGAGAGTTAAGGAAAAACTGTAAAGAGATTTTTCTTTTAATTCATTCTAGTTTAAATAATTCTCCAGAGCGAAAGAGAGCATATTTTTATGACAACATGTAACTTGCTCTCTATTACATGACACAATAGAAGCAAAAAAAAAAAAAAACAACATTAAGAAAAAACGTGGAAAATTATTTAGTACTTGAGGTTATTGTGTTGTTGTAGTTCATTTTTACATAATTTTTGTTTTGTTTCATTTTTTTTTTATAGAATACCAAATATTTAAAAAACACATGGACTTATTTTGTGACAACATTTTACAGTCAGTCACTGACTGAATCTCTGTATAAGAGTAGCGAGAGAGAGTGAAAATTTGACGAGTTGTTGGTTTTTTTGACAGGAAATAGTGTAGAATTATTTTGTCATATGTAAATCGTATGGGTGGGTAAATTGTAAAGAACAACTTCTGGAATTAGTTGAAATTGTTTAAAATTATATAAAAACCAGACTAGACTATAGACTAAACAATAGAATAAACAATAGACTAGACTATAGACTAGACTATAAATCAGACTATAGACTATACAATCGTCCAGACTATAGACTAAACTGTAGCCCAGACTATAGACTAGAGTGTAGTCGAGACTATAGACTAGATTATAGTCGAGACTATAGACTAGAGTATAGTCGAGACTATAGACTAGAGTATGGTCCAGACTACAGACTAGAGTATAGTACAGACTATAGACTAAACTATCGTCAAGACTACAGACTAAACTATTATCCAGACTATAGACTAAACTATTGTCCAAACTATACACTAGAATATAGTCCAGACTATAGACTAAACTATAATCCAGACTATAAACTAAACTATAGTCCAGACTATAGACTAAACTATAATCCAGACTATACACTAAACTATAGTCCAGACTATAAACTAAACTATAGTCCAGACTATACACTAGACTAGAATACAGTACAGACTATAGACTAAACTATAGTCCAGACTATAGACTAAACTATAGTCCAGACTCTAGACTAAACTATAGTCCAGTGTCTAGTATAGTCTAGTCTATAAACCAGACTATAGACTAAACTATTGTCCAGACTATAGACTAAACTATTGTCCAGACTATAGACTAAACTATAGTCCAGACTATAGACTAAACTATAGTCCACACTATAGACTAAACTGTAGTCCAGACTATAGTCTAAACTATAGTCCAAACTCCAGACTAGACTATAGACTAAACTGTAGTCCATACTATAGACTAATCTATAGTCCAGACTATAGACTAAGCTATGGTCCAGACTATGGACTAAGCTATAGTCCAGACTATGGACTAAGCTATAGTCCAGACTATAGACTAAATTGTAGTCCAGACTCTAGACTAAACTGTAGTCCAGACTATAGACTAGAAAATAGTCCAGACTATAGACTAAAACTATAGTACAGACTATAGACTAAACTATAGTCCAGACTATAGACTAAACTATAGTCCAGACTATAGACTAAACTACAGTCCAGACTATAGACTAAACTATAGTCCAGACTATAGACTAAACTGTAGTCCAGACTATAGACTAAATTGTAGTCCAGACTCTAGACTAAACTGTAGTCCAGACTAGAAAATAGTCCAGACTATAGACTAAACAATAGTCCAGACTGTGGACTACAGTCCAGACTATAGACTAGACTACAGTCCAGACTATAGTCTAAACTGTAGTCCAGACTATAGTCTAAACTGTAGTCCAGACTATAGTCTAAACTGTAGTCCAGACTATAGTCTAAACTGTAGTCCAGACTATAGTCTAAACTGTAGTCCAGACTATAGTCTAACTAAAGTCCAAACTCTAGACTAGACTATAGACTAAACTGTAGTCCATGCTATAGACTAATCTATAGTCCAGACTATTGACTAAGCTATGGTCCAGACTATGGACCAAGCTATAGTCCAGACTATAGACTAAGCTATAGTCCAGACTGTAGACTACAGTCCAGACTATAGACGAGACTACAGTCCAGACTATAGTCCAGACTATAGACTAGACTATAGTCCAGACTATAGACTAAACTATAGTCCAGACTATAGACTAAACTATAGTCCAGACTATAGACTAGACTATAGTCCAGACTATAGACTAGACTATAGTCCAGACTATAGACTAAACTATAGTCCAGACTATAGACTAAACTATAGTCCAGACTATAGACTAAAATATAGTCTAGTCTATAGACTAAACTATAGTCTAGACTATAGTCCAGACTATAGACTAAACTATAGTCCAGACTATAGACTAAACTATAGTCCAGACTATAGACTAAACTATAGTCCAGACTATAGACTAAACTATAGTCCAGACTATATACTAAACTATAGTCCAGACTATAGACTAAACTATAGTCCAGACTATAGACTAAACTTTAGTCTAGACTATAGACTAAACTATAGTCCAGACTACAGACTAGACTATAGACTAGACTATAGTCCAGACTACAGACTAGACTATAGTCCAGACTATAGACTAAACTATAGTCCAGACTATAGACTAGACTATAGTCCAGACTATAGACTAAACTATAGTCCAGACTGTAGACTAAACTATAGTCCATTCAGACTATAGTCGAAATTTCGAACTGGACTGTAGTCCAGACTCTAGACTATAGTTGAGACTAAAGATTGTACTATAATTCCGACTATAGATTGTATTCTTATATTATTGAGTATACTTCAGTTAATTCCATTCACAAAAATTGTTCTCATATCTCTAAGCAAACCACTGTAAAAGAAACCCTGCTAACTAATTTTATCTTGAATTATCGAATACCGCTACCGAAACATCCATATAAAAGTGATATAGTGTTTAGTTGTGTCGTTGTTTTTTTGATAACTTAATGTCTATGTAATACATTTTAATTGTAATTACACAGTTTATAAGAGTTTAATGATAAAAAAACAAACAACAAAAAATAAAGTTATCAACCCAGAACAGTAGTAGTTAGTGGAAGTATGCTTGCATGTGTGTAGTAAGTAACTACGGGAGATATACAACAAAACCAGCAAAAGCAGCAAAATATGTAGTTCCAATGAGAATTAATGTCTGTCTATCGGTCGTCGGTGTCTATCAGCCAGTAGGTTTATTTGTTTTTTTTTCAGCTTTCCAACAAGAGTTTGTGTGCAACCTTTTGGTAAAATTGTGCAATGAGCCATAACGAATTAATTGGTTTTTGAGTAGAAAAAAATGAAAAAAATATAATAATATAAACAAAAACAAACTACAGCGACTAAACTATTTTTATTCAATTCTATACAACACAACAAACACAAAGTAAAAATCTATAGTATTTTTATTATTTTATTATTTTTAATGTTTGTTGGTCTGGAACAAGACAGACAGACAGATAGAAGGAAGGACAGACTGTGTAATCAACACAACGCACTTATATTATAAATTATAAATCTATTATATATTTTGTTGAACAAGTTAGTTGTTGTTGTTTTTTATTTTTTGGCATATATTATTGTTAGTGTGACAGCTATTCATCCAGTCAATTCACAGTTGCTGCTACTGCTGCTGGTATGTCAAAAACCTCAAACATTAATCTGTCTGTCTGTCTATGGCTGAGAGTTCTCTCATTCCTCACCTTCTCCTCTTGCTATCATTTGGTTTTTTCTATTGTTAAGGATTGTATAAATTTTGGTAAATTTTGGTCTTTTATAAATGATTTATTTTTTATATTAAATCAATCAACCAATATTTTATATCTCTACGATATCAATAATAAAACAGGGTGTGCACAGTATTTGTGGGAAACAGGTTGGAAATAATTTAATTCCAAATGATTTAAACGATTCGCAGGATTCATGATCTGAAGCTGATATTTTATATTTAAACCGGGATCACATAGATCACAGATTTTCACTATGTTCTCAGTTGGAACGTTATTTAAGGAACTAGAGCTGATTTTAGATATTTCATATAAAAATCGATTTTTGGTGAGAAATATGAGTGATCACAGATTTTCACTATTTTCTCAATTGGAGCGTTATTTAAGGAACTAGAGCCGATTTTAGATATTTCACATAAAAATCGATTTTTGGTGGGAAATATGAGTGACCACAGATTTTCACTATTTTCTTAATTGGAGCGTTATTTAAGGAACTAAAGCCGATTTTAGATATTTCATATAAAAATCGATTTTTAGTGGGAGATATGAGTGATCACAGATTTTCACTACTTTCTCAATTGGAGCGTTATTTAAGGAACTAGAGCCGATTTTAGTAGATATTTCACATAAAAATCGATTTTTGGTGGGAAATATGAGTGATCACAGATTTTCACTATTTTCTTAATTGGAGCGTTATTTAAGAAACTATAGCCGATTTTAGATATTTCATATAAAAATCGATTTTTAGTGGGAAATATGAGTGATCACAGATTTTCACTATTTTCTCAATTGGAGCGTTATTTAAGGAACTAGAGCCGATATAAAAATCGATTTTTGGTGGGAAATATGAGTGATCACAGATTTTCACTATTTTCTCAATTGGAGCGTTATTTAAGGAACTAGAGCCGATTTTAGATATTTCATATAGAAATGGTGGGAAATATGAGTGATCACAGATTTTCACTATTTTCTTCATTGGAGCGTTATTTAAGAAACTAGAGCCGATTTTAGATATTTCATATAAAAATCGATTTTTGGTGGGAAATATGAGTGATCACAGATTTTCACTATTTTCTCAATTGGAGCGTTATTTAAGGAACTAGAGCCGATTAAAGATATTTCATATAAAAATCGACTTTTAGTGGGAAAT